ATAGCTATAATCTGAAGTTCAACAAGAACAAACATGTCTTATAAATATTTGTCCCAGGGTTCATGAAATCACATCCAAGTACAATCCAGGGAACAAACTGAACCTGTGTTAAAAGACCCTGTGCCTTTTTTCCTGGAACCTATCTCAGTTTCCCGAGGCATTGTTCACCATGGGTCATTCTTTTGGCTGTGTTGCAACAATAGACAGTTTTAAAAACAATACTATCAAAACTAAATATTGGCCAGAAAGAAGACTTTGCCATTTCTTATCTGAAAATGGACTTGACTCCTGTAGGATGGAGGACAGAAGACCTTGCAATTTCTTTATGAGTTTGCACTTGAGATAATGATGCCATCTCAAACATACACTTTCACTCAGGAGTTCTTATACTCAGGTCCTCCTCTGTTCCCACACATTGTTTGACATTTGATCCACTGGTAAGATTCACAGCCATAAGTATCCTCCTGGAATGTCTCAGAATGCAACAGTGATCTGCTAAGAAATAAATCATAATTGCATCACATGCCCTATGTTCACATTTTCTCTTCAGAAAGTTGACCCTCTTCTTTCATTGTCCTCATGAACAAGTTTCCCAGGAGCATCAATGCTACCAACAGATTTTGTATAAATCAAACCTGTAAACAAATGAATGTGGTCTGTATTTTGTCCTGACTGTATTCTGGCTGTTCTGTTTACTTCAAGTTGTTTCTTCTTTATTTATGGAATATCTCTATAGTTTATTTCTCACCTCCTAACAATCTTTGCTCTAATGTTTCTATGGTAATAAACATTCTCATTGTTAAAATATCATAGGTTTATTCCTAATTAGTCATACCTTATACAACAATGTTGATTGGCAATGGAATCTTTGACATATTTCTCGCTGATCAAAGTCATGAAGTAGATTCAGAGATGAAATTTAAATCAATGAAGAGTCATCCCTGTTGACTCTGAAGATATTGACAAAAGACAATTTGTATAAAGGTTATAGAAGGCTCCAGTTGCTTAAAATGGCTTTCTGTTTTCTAGAAAAAAAATCTAGCCCTATTTTTCTAGTCCTATAGAATTTGGATGGACATGAATCTTATCAATTAATTTGTAGAACTCTAAAAAATTTTTTTTCTCAGCTATATTTCCAGATAAAAGCAATTTGACTACCAAAGTGGCAGGCCTACTAACAACTAGGAAGTGTGAACTATTTCAAAGTGTCGAGTTTATACTAAAATCAAAGTTTTAATATAACAGTAAATTTCCTAATCACTGTGTTTGAAATAGCTCCTCTTCTATCCATATCCCTGCAACCCTTTCTTTCACCCACATCAAGTAACCTTTCAAAATCTACTATACACTATTAGTAATATTTGTATATGGTCCAACATCTGTCTTTGACCATAATAAAAATATGAAAAGTCAATCTTTCATTGTCACAGATATATAAAATGTGCTAAGAATAATCCTTGAGAAATCAAAGATATTTAAATAAATGTAAATGAATACCTATAACACAGCTACCTCGGGTTCTGATTTCTACTCAATCATGTTTCAATGGGAATGATTCTGCACAATCCATCTAGTTTGCTTAGTTTCAGTTTCCTCACTTCCAGACTTAACAATAAAGCTTTGTAAACATGGGCATTTACTGTAAGAATCAACAAGATAATGTTTCCTTAATGAATTTTAGGAAGAAATACAAAAGATACAATGTTTGTAAAAGTGATTCAATCTTTGCATTAAGTATCAAAATATAGCATCATTGACTGTCAAATTAAAAACTTGGAGAAATACTACTTAACAACAGATAAAGTACAAACTTGAATGTGTGATTGAAAGTGTGCAGTAAATAATATAAATTTCTTTGTAGCTGTTTGGAAACTATTAAAACCTTTTTAAAAAGAAGTGCTTGATGAATTTGATTATAACACTTGTGCTTTATCTATGATGGACATGAGTTTAAAGTATGCATTAAATGTTTAATAAAGTTTTGCTTGCAGTTTTCAAAAAATGTTGTTAGTAAAATAATATGAGAAAACTTTAAGTCTTAACATAATTTAAAATTTTCTCTTCTTGTTTGTAACTCAGCCCTTCTGTCACTGGAATAATCATTTTTCTATCTGTTAATGGAATTTAAGCTTACTAGTTCAATCCCCTTTCATGACACATATTTTATTAATTATAGATGCATACATGTTTATGTATATTTATTAAAACTCTTTATTATGTATATAAAACTAATAATTTAGGAAAGATTTTATTTAAAGAACTAAAAATCTCTGTCTTACTTACTTGATGTTTAGAACCTAATATTTCACTTCTAAGAACTAGTAATGACCAAGACTATTGATTTCTAAAATTGAGTAAAACACTGTCATTGACCTATTATATTCTGACTTTATATCCAAAACAAGTTAATGAATCTTGTAATGTATAGTTACCTTTGTTAATCATTTGGACATGATTTTGTCAAATCTTCTGTGACAAATTTGTATAGTCGACATTAATGACATGGTTCAACTGAAGTCTATATATAATACTTCAAGAGCTCATTATGAAGAAATAAATTATTGCTAATGATAAAACTCATAATGTTTATGCTAACTAAATAATATAAAGAATATAACACAAAAATAAAGTGTAGAAAGGTTATATAAATGTGTACATCTACCGACAATATGCACTTAAAAAATTATAAGAAGTCACTTGAACATGATTATGTGTGTATCTACAAAGTAGGTGAAGTTACATAAGTCTGTGACCAACAAGAGTTTAACATTAGTTCAATTAATTAGTCAATACTTGTATGAGATATGTATAGAAATTTCCTGATTTGAATACTATAAGCAATTCACCTACCAATTTAATAAATATTTATCGAGTAGCTCTTTTGTGTATAAGGCATTTTTTCTAAGCTTATAGTATGGGTCAGTGAACATGCATACATCATATATTGAAATTTTATTCAATACCATTATAAAATATGTACATTTCAAGTTTTGTTCTAGAATTCTCCTCTCAAAATACAATTCATCACAATTTTAACACATCATAAACTACTGACAAAATACTATTTCAATCATTTTTAAAACTACACATTATCTCCATAAGAAACCAGAGTTAAAATAACTGAGGGTGGACCCCTTTGATATTTCTTCAGTCTCATCATACTTTTGGCTACATATTGCTTCTCTTCTAGTGTGCTAGTATTTTTTTTCTGGCTTTCACCCTGAAAGAATCTCCTTCACTACAGATAAAAACAACAATGTTCAACACAATAATTTCCCAAACAAAATTAACACTTCATCTAAAGACCTCGATTTAAGAAAGGTTCCTGGCCTTTGACATACAGATATTTTTTAAATCAGTTCAGTAGTAATCATTTGCCTCCGGTTTTATGGCATCACATTCTAGTATAGAGCACACTCAAATCAAAGAGGTTTTATTTTATAACCAAAATCCATAAATGTATTGAATTTGTTTGAAGCTTGGGGGCTTAAAAAACTGTGTAGTGCATCTTCTAAATTAAGGAAAGATACTTAGAAGACAATAATCAATAAGGAGAGAAGAAAGATTGCAATTTCAATATACCTAAGGCACAGATGCAATTTTCAGAGTGATATAATTTCATGGTTGGACATTTTTTCTAAAAAGTAAAGTGAAAGAATATATTTAAGTTAGAAACAGTTTTTGATTGGCGCTATGTATTCCTTTGATGAAGTCAATGTATTGAGAAGTCCCTGCAACAATATACCTTTAAAGTTGTTCTCAACAAAGATACTATTAATTATTTCCGTATTTTTTAATAGAGGCTCAAAGAACTGAAGCAGAGAGAATTTGCTCGAAATGTAGCATCTAAATCCAGGAAGGATGAAAGAAAACAGGAAAAGGCACTCCAACGTCTTCACAAGCTGGCCGAGCTAAGAAAGGAAACTGTGTGGTGAGTGTATAATGAAATGTTAACTTTTCTTAAAATACACTCAGAAAATAGCTGCGGGAGTTAGAAATAAAGGGCATAAACCTATTTATTTCAGTACAGAGAAAAAGGCATATATGTTTTCAAGGCCTTCTGTAGAAGTAAAGAGTAATTTGAATTTCATGCAAATACCTGTTTAATGCACATTTCACAAAAACTCCAAAATTACCGTGTAATCTCAGCTTATAAAAGTATATTTTGCATCAGTCGAGGCCTGTATCTAAGCCATCTTAATTGAAAGCTGTTCCATTTCTTCATGAAATTCAAACCATTTGATTGAAGACGCAAGCAAAGCTCTATCTCCTGACTCTTGGCAAAAAAAAAAAAAAAGCATTTTTGAGAAAATCTTATTTTATTTTTTTTTAATGATAATTTGGAGAACATTTCTTTGAAATTACTTTTAAATTTGAAAAACGAGGTCAGGAAGATACTGCCACTTCTGAAGCAGTTCAAAATTAGTTTCTCTGTGAATAAGCTATAGCTGGACTGTTAGAAGTTCACAGCTCTTAAACTTTGACCCGCTTCTCACGGTGAGCAGCTGTTAGATGTGAACAGAGTTATAATTCAGACCTCACAAGCCCAGCCAGGGCAAAGCTATTAAAAGAAATCTCTTTGGAAAGTGCCCTTATTTCTCTCAACAAATGAAGTCTCTCCTGTTACTGTCTATAACAAAGATTTTGTGCTAAATTAATTTCATATTGAATATTGTCATGGAGTATTTTGACTTACAAATTTTTTTAAGAAATCCAAATTTAAATTTTAAAATGATATGAAGGATTTTCTTAAATCCTATGTGGAACTGTTTAAAGAAACAGTTGCTCAGCTATAGTAATGAGATCTGTTTACTGTCGTGGAATCAGATGCAGAGTTGATGTAAATCAAAGCTATATAGAATCTTGGGAACTAATTACTTCACAATAAAATGTTCTATAAGTAGAATTGTCATGTAACTTATGATATACTAAGAAAGATGCATTTATAATATATAAATGATCTCTAATACTTCATTAAAGCTTTTAATAGACAATATGTCTCATGGACACAAATTCTCATTTTGTACATGTTATTCAGAAGCAATACAGGAAAGACAATTATACACTGTTTCAATGACTTTAGAAATCAGCTATAGTATATGGCCATTTCAAATTTCTTTAAAACAAACCCTTACAATGGAATGAAATTCCTCTTAAGATAATCCTTAATATTAAAATAAAGTTTAAAGATTTCCTATAATATACATAGGTCAAACTCTTTTTTAAATAAGAACTCAGCCTGTATGATATATTGCCAAATACAGTTGGAATATAATTCATATTTTAGGTCAATAGTATTCTATTATAAAGGACTATATTTTATAACATAACTTACAAATTTAGAGTAACTACAAAATACTAGCTTTTCTAGCTAACTTAGTTGACAGACAACTCTTGGTGGAAGTGATTTGATGAAATTTAGCTGAGATGAATCATTAAAAACATTTTGAGCCTTTCTAAAATCTTGATTAGGGTGATGTTTTTGTTTTTTATTTTGTTCTTTGATATCTGTTTTATGATATCAATGGTAAAATTTACTGGAAATTTAAAATACTTTTACTGTAGAATAGTTTACATGATTCCCCATGAAGAGGCCATTGGGTACAAAACATTGACTGGGAAAACAATGACTGAGAACATAAGGAGCTCCTGTATATTGTTGTTTACAACTCTAGACAACATTCCTAGACAGTAAGTCTAGGTTACCTCAACAATAGCAACCAAAAAAAAACAAAAAAGAAACCCCACAAAAATGTTGCTAAAATACTGGGAATGGTAACTTCACCCTATGAAATAACTTTATAACACACATTTAAATTTCAACCATAGAGTCATGATAGAGGTTGGATTTTGAAACACATGGCTCCATTAATAATCAGGTCTCCATTAATAATGAAGAAGGAAAAATTCTCATTTTTCTTGCTGAACTAGCTCCTACTGAGAGACTTGGGAACCAGGATAATCATTGCCTTCTGCTCTGTACCAACTACTATCTCCAACAGGAGCCAATGAACACTTCCAATCCAATGAGTGCACAAATTATCCTGGTTAAACTAAACAGGGCACCAAAAAAACCAAAAAACTAGGATCCCCAAGAAAGGGACTTTTAGAGATTGTGAGGAGCAGGGGTTTGATGTGAACAGGAAGAACATTTGGAAAGAAGTGGTAAATAAAGTGATCAGAATACATGATCTACATGTATAAAAGTAACAGTCAACAAAATCAATTAATGCAAATTTGAAAACTTCCAAAAAACATTTAACTATATATCTGAGAAATAAGTCGTATAATAGGTTTTTATTCAACTTGCTTTCTAACTTATATTTTTTCCACCCTTTGTAGTGCTCCTGGAAGTGGCCCCATGTTCAAGTCAACGACTGTTACTGTGAGAGAAAATCTCAATGAAGTTTCCCAAAGAGAGAGTGTAGATCCAGTTAACAACCAGCAAGATTTGACTCAAAGTGAAGAGAAGGTGAGAGATGTTGCTACAGCTCCAGCAGAAACAGAAACTGCAAGTAACTGCAGAGCAAATAATTGCCAGATTGGGGATCAAACACAGGCTGTCCACAGACACAGAATTGGCTTCTCCTTTGCATTTCCAAAGAAAGCCTCAATGAAGCTGGAATCCTCCTCTGCTGCAGCCTTCTCAGAATACAGTGATGAATCCTCTGTGGAGAAAGAATTCTGCAGGAAAACTAGATTTGTCCCTAGCACGTGTCATCTTCAACTATCGTCACCAACATGTGAGATTCTGAGTTCTGAGGAGAAAGCTAACTCTTCTCCTCCACCAGAGGTCATGTGTACTGACAAACCAACTCCTCAAACTGAAGAGGTGAAAATAACTACTAATGAAAACAACACACTATTAACTACTTCGTTTTGCCAGCTTCAACTCCCTGCATGCTCTGATGCAGATACTTGCCAAAATTCAGCACCATTTGAAGACCAACTATCAATAGAAGCTGTTATTATAAATGAAGATGGACCTGTGAGTAAAAGCAATCCAGACATCATAGAAAAGAATCCCACTGTGCCTAATGACTGCACATCAGCACAGACGACCACAGAGGAAAACATGATTAATGATGTGATCAAAACGGAAACCAGAAATAAAACTGGTCATGACCCACCTTCAAGTACTGCGGAAGAAAGCATAAGATTGACAAAAAGACCAGATGTATGTAAAAGACAGTGTGATCCATTTGTACCTGTGCTTAACAAATTTGGATCAACAGTGCTTCAATGGCCATCAGAAATGCTTGCTTACACAACTACAGAGCCATCAATATCTTATAGCTGCAATCCACTATGTTTTGATTTCAAGTCCACTAAACTAAACAACAATCGAGATAAAAATAAACTAACTTTAAATGGCCTTTGCTCTCAACAGAAGGAGGACTGTTGCAAAGGAGCAGATGCTGATTGCAATGACGAACCAATTGGAAGAGAAGCAAATGATGAAATTGACAGTACTAAAAATGATTACCCTCAAGTTACTACACTTTCCGCTGTCCACATTTTGACTAATGGTTGTGATTTAGAACGGAATGAGAATGTGGGTCAGAGGTATAAAAATATTTCCTGTAAAAACAGAAAAGCAAACAAATACAATTTTACTAGATGTCAAATTAAACGAGACACTCTAAATGAGAAATACAACAGAATCAAATTGAAGGAAACTCGTGAGCACTGGTTCCATAAAAGTAGAAGAAAGAAAAAGAGAAGAAAGTTATGTCGGTATCATCATGAGGACTCAACCAAAGAACCTGAAGGGTCCGACAAAACAGAAATGGACAGACAGTGCACTGATGAGGCCAGGAAGAATCCGCTAGAACCAGTTCTGGAAAGTCAGCCAAGGAGTCCAGAACGAATGTCAGACTTACATCAGCTGCCAGATGAAAGACCCAAGACAACACCTACACATTTAGACAAAAATGAAACAACATGGAACGCAACACTGAACACTGAATGCAACAATGATGCTCTTGGTTCTCAAAACCATGGAGGAAACAATGCAACAGTTGTAAATGAGCAAGCAAATCCACCAATGATATGTTCTATGAAGCAAAACTTAACATATATCGGAACTTACTGTTGTTGGAAAGCCAGAACATCAAGAAGTCAAGAGGATGATGGGTGCTTTGTTGCTCAAAGACATGTGAAAGGTCCAACTCAGAATCAGCCTGTTAAAAGAGGTTACAGTTCTCTCACAAATGATGCAGAAAGAATTCATCGGAAACGCAGACAACAATCATGTTCTTACTCCTCGGATGAAAGTTTAAATCAACAAAGTCATTTAGGAGAAGAATACTTGAGGCCACCAAGTGCTTCATTCACTTTCTGTCAGCCTAAGAAGAAACGAAGGAGAAAAAGAAGCAGACTCCACATTGGAGATAGAACTTCGAAAATAAAAGACAATTCAAATTATCCCATGAAACGTAGTTCTTCTTTGAGTCACTCAGTTGAGTTGGCAAAGGAAGGCATAAAAGAGGACATAAAACCACAAGAAAATATAAGTATCAAGAAGAACTCAGAAAACACAGAGCAAACAGAAGTCAAAGAGAAGTTCCATCCTTATAATCCACTTCCTCCTGAAACCAGTGTCAAAGATGAGCATTCAGTAACGGAGACTACTCCATGTGACTCATCGCAGGCTTCCAATGATCTTGCTACACCTGAGAATGTCACCAGGGACCCACCAAATGGCACGACTGACAATACCTTGCTTGAACACAATCAAAGAAGTCAGACTACAAACAATAACGTAAAGCAAATTCCTTTCAAGGTGCCTAATACTGAAAGGAACTTTAGACACTCACAGGCTAAATCATACATTTGTCGTTATGAGCTGGCCGAGACCATGCCACAGAGAAAGACAAACGAGACATCAACAGAGTGGCTATGTTATAATTCAGGAATCCTTAACACCCAACCACCATTACAGTTCAAGGAAGCACATGTCAGCGGCCATGCCTTTGTAACAACGGAACAAATCCTGGCTCCATTGGCTTTACCAGAGCAAGCTTTATTGATTCCACTAGAAAATCATGACAAGTTAAAACATCTACCATGTGAAGTCTACCAGCATATTATTCAGCCAAACATGCTAACCAACAAGGTCAAATTTACCTTTCCTCCTGCTCCCCTGCCTCCTCCCAACACTCCCGTGCAGCCTTTGCCTTTGCCGCGGCCCTTTTGTTCTACCTCTGTAACCACTATCCATCACACTGTTTTACAGCATCATGCTGCAGCCGCGGCTGCAGCAGCTGCAGCTGCAGCTGCAGGAACCTTCAAAGTGCTTCAGCCACACCAACAGTTCCTTCCCCAAGTTCCTGCTCTCACCAGAACATCTATACCTCAGATCTCTGTAGGGACTGTAGGACCTAGGCTTTGTCCTGGTGGTCAGCCAGCTTTGGTTGCTTCTCCTCAGATGCCAATCATCCCCGCATCCGTTCTTCACCCCAGCCACTTGGCTTTTCCACCCTTACCCCATGCACTTTTTCCTTCATTGCTTTCACCACATCCAACCGTCATTCCCCTCCAGCCCCTCTTCTAGTCACCACCATAAAGAAAAAAGAACATATATATGAGTAGGTATCTACATGCATAATTGGCTATTTAACTGACAGAATAAACTGGCCAAAGCTGGTCTTATTTCAAACCATTTACTGTAAGTGTAATGATGCTAATAAATTATTAAAGTTTCTGATATATAATATTATTAAAGCACTGACTAGTTTGAGAATCAATACAATATATGCTGTATATTAAAATGATGTCTTAAGAGTATGTATAATGTACATAAAATATATTTATAGTACTGTAATTTATGTTGTAAAGTATGCTCCTTGTTTTTTCTAATCTTTGTGTATTTGCACCTATTTAATGTTTAGACAAAGCTGATGATCCTATTTGTTTTGTACCATGTTCCTTGAAACTGTAAATTCAGTGAAATATATCTCTTGCAATAAATTTTTGTTAATTATTTAAGTAAATCAAACTTTGATGTTTAGGTGGTCTTCACTGATTGAGTAATATTGGAAATTGTGTTCTCTTTATGATTCTCTTCTACCCAGTGGTATCAAACAATCACCAAGAACCAAGTATCATCAGAGTTATGCCACATTTAAATGTTGTCATCCATCGCAGCAAATATAATATACAGTATAACTGTTGGTGTCTCCATTTCACACAACATTGCTTATATTGAGTCTTACTGCATTTCTTGGCCATGAATTTAGATAGTAACCAAGGAAATTTCTATTTAAGAAACATTAGAATTTGAAAATTCAATAGTTTAAAAATCACTCAGAATACATGTTATCACCCATAAGAGTACTAAACCAGAACTGTCAACTAATATAAGTTTGCTCATAAAGTTTTTGAATATTAATATTCTTAAATTTATTTTATTCATATTAAGTCCTATAGGAAATATATATGAAAATATTGACATAAATTAAGAAATAATTACAATTTTAATAATTTACTATTAAATGACAATTTGAGATCAATTGCAGAAACATTGTCTGTGTCTTGATGTACTCTTCAGAATATAGATATGGAAAAGTAAAACTCAATAGCTCTTCCTTCAGTAATTCTTTCTAGTAGTCACATATGTAATATCCCTCTCGGTCAAGTAGCAATGACTGTAGATATTTTCCTGACCTCTTTTCAAGTTGTAAGCAGCCTCTTAGATTCTAATTTATTTGAAATTAGCTCATTGTTATATTTTACCTTACTGTTAATGAATAGTAAAGAACTCAAATATTTATTGGAAAACTCTGGAGGAATACAATTTCCCCAAGTATTTTCCTAGTTGTGTCTGCTTCAATGAATGCCAGCTGATAAGAAGTCTTTATATGTATGAGTCAGAGTGGGTGATCTTATCATATGCAAATCTTAGAATTCTTGTCATAGAAGAAAACACAATAGACTTCAACTTTCATGCAGTCCTGTTCTGAGAAAATTTTATTCATGTAAAATGGATGAACCTAAAAGACAGAGCATATGGCATCTGCCATGTCATATAAATCAATATTGAGATTTAAGTAAGAGCCAATGAGGAAAGTTAGGAAAATTATTTTCACTATTATTTACTATATTTATAAATTATTTTAATGTTTTGCTAAAAATGCTTATAGTGGACTAAATGTGCCTATTGATGTTTGACAAATAAGTAGACAAAAATAGGATGGATTTAAAATGTTTTAACTTATTAAGTTCCCAAAGTGGAAACTTAATTTTGAACAGATGATTTTTTTTCTTCAAGCAAAACATCTTTGAAGAAAAAGTAGATGAAGACATCTACTGGGAAATATTGAAGCAAATTGTTTTTCATACTTAAGAACAAAATTTTTGCTTATGCTGCCCCAAATCCAAACTGTTAGACGTAACAATGTACATCTTGCTTTCCATCACCCTATCTTCCAAACTGTCTAATTTTACATCTTGTTTATATCTTGCAATTCATTATTCCAAGAGCTTCTTTCTTCAACTCATGTTATACGCTAATGTGTGTCTCCTTGTCTCTCACCAGGTTATCATCAACTCTGTTTTCATTCCTGAATGATGTGGCTCTCCTACTGTTTAAGTTCTTGTTAAATCATGTGCCTAGCTAGATTTACTTAACCTTTAAATTAGACTTACTATGTAGGTTTTTTTGCTATCTAATGGCAGGAGTTTTTAGAATGTATGTGGAAGAAACTTATGTAAGAAGAGTGGAAATTGAACTTGACAGATAAATTGTTAGGTTGTCATGGATACAGATAATCAAACAAGAGACTTGAGCTTCAGTTAAGTGCTATCAAAATCATCTTGATTATAACTTCACCTCTGTATTTAACACTGTCCTAAGATATTATTTATATTATCTTTTCATCCAATTCATGTTAAAGATATGAATTGTAAGGAGACACTTGCTAATCTCTATTGATAACACCCTACAATCAAGTGTCTCAGGTCAACTGGCTCAAGAGCAACAATGAGTGGAAAATCATTAACCATTTAAGAAAGTGTCATCAAGCAGTGGGGCTATCAGACTACTAAAGCTTAAACTTTCAGGAATGGCTCATTTCAATGAGAGTAGTGTAGCATGCTTCCTGGTGATTTTTCTAAACAACACACTCTAAAGCAGAAATCTTATATTTTTTTCAGACTTGCATTATTGTGAATGGTATCTGTGATTTGTTAGTTGTATTTATTACTATGACATATGTGCCAATCATGATGGATAACTTCAAATTTAGAGTGAAGTATGACTGTGAAATGCCATCATACTCAGCTAACAAAAGGTTTTACAGGGCTAGGGATATGATGTCACAATTAAAGCCCATGACACAAGAGAGAGAACTGAGTTTTGATCCTGAGGTTACTGGTAAAATGTCTGAAGGCTTGTACTTCTTTAACCCTACTACTGTTGATAGGTAGAGACTTGTAGATCACTGGACCTTAGCCAGAAAGCCTATGCAAAATCTGAATTTCACATTCCATGAGACATTCCATATATCTCTAATGAATGAGGCAGAGAATAACAGAGCAGGACCTTGTCGAACTATTCCTGACTTTGCATATGCATGCACTATACATGTACCCACAAGCATGTGAAAATACTGCATGCATATACAGTATATACATTCATAACTCACAGAAAGGAAGAAAGAGGTAAGAAATGAAAGAAAGAAAGAAAGAAAGAAAGAAAGAAAGAAAGAAAGAAAGAAAGAAAGAAAGAGAAAGAAAGAAAGGAAGAACGAAAGAAAAAGAGAGAGAAAGAGAGAGAAAGAAAGAAAGAAAAAGGAAATAAAGGCTAAGATAAAAACCTACATCCCCAGATTAATAGGAAAAGTAAGAAAGAATCACCTATAATTTCATATTTCATGCATGCTAAACAAGTATATTCTACAAATTTCTTTATTGGTGGTGGTCTACTTACAAAGAGTTACACATGAGATATCTCTAACTTGACTATCTAACAAAATTTTGAGCTCAAAACTTAAACCAATCATCTTTCCCTACAAGTACCAATAAAACCTGCTTTTTGCTCCTATAATTATAAATTCTGTGAGTAACAAAATACTAAAACATATTATTAAGCTAAAAACCATAGTGTATAGTTTTTTTGCCGATATCAAAATATTGAGCTACTGGGTTCCATCTCTTTAATGTCTTTTGAAAAAGTATCCATTTTATTGAAGTGTAGCCTTGGAACTTAGTTAAGTCAATCCTGTTTTACAGTCAAGTCTCCATTCTATCAGGCTCCACCTTGGATAAGTCATCTTCAGGTGTAGCGAGCTCTCACTTTGTACTTTAAAAACTCAATCTCAACATTACAGGCTTCATTTTAAATTTATTTTAGGTTTCAATACTTTCAATATAATCATTAAAATCCTTTATCTGTCATCTGAAAACAAAATTCTGTAAAGTCCATGTCGGTATCCATCAAACACAGCATTCTTTAAGGTCAATTATCCTAGTTGATACAGCTTGTATGACTATAATCAGTCAGGCTTCACTGTTTTTTTGTCTCTAATGTACCATCACGTACCTAAGCAGGCCAATACTCAACGACGATGTCATTTACATTGAGAAATTCCCCTTCAGCTAATCTTCTCCTCATATAAAAACTTCCTGCATTCTATTTTCATATAACATGCGGTGCAGCATTATTTTTATAAATATTTCCCTCTGTTGCATATCTTGCCTCTTTTATCCAATAATTTAGAACACAATCCCTCTATAACAGTGTAGTATATGACACATAATGAGCACACCACATAATCAATGATGAGGAATGAAACCTGTATGAAAAAAAATCTCTAATTCCATACAGAATGTACTATAGAATTCAAGGCTGCTATACATTTTTATTCCAGGCATCTCCTTAACTGTAGTTAGAATATAATTTTCCAAATACATTGTTATTCAAAGCTAACATACGTTATAGTGAAATTATCTATCAGATAAAAGTAGTACCACAAAAATGAAAAAGAAATATACCTTTGGGCTAAACCTTCACCTCTTCCACAGAAGCCCAATCTCCCTGTACTGTCTCCAGCTCTGCATCTCTTTCTAGGAATTTGTCCATCATCTAACTACTGTCCTTGAAATTTTCTCTTAGACTTTGTAGCTACATATTAGTATACTATGTTCCACACAGAAAACTAACTTTTAGTGCTGAATAAAACACAAATGTAATTCACATTATTAAAATATGTGTGGCTGATAGTGAGAGCACAATGCATATATTATATTTGTGCATCTAAAGTCATCTCATTATTCAGTTAAGGAGATCAAAGGTATACTCACTTGTGCCTTTCACATGTTGCCTCTTGCTCTCTATCCTCATTCTTTTATGTATCTTTTTTTTTCCTTTCTAAGATTTGTTTAGCTAAACCACAATCACTTGTTCATACAAAGGGAATTCCCTCCAAGAAACATTCGAGTCAGTTCATTACCTTTGCTCACAAATATAACTGCATAAAGGCTTATGGTATGCTAACATTGAGAGTAAAGACCCAAGGTCCTGCTTTGAAGACAGAAATAACCACATATACATTTGGCTGCAAAATACTAGAATCTATCTCACTTAACTTCAAGTCTTGTGGACTGTGTGTACCTCTCTACAGTGAGGACTGAATATATTCATACAATGACACATCATTTCTTATGATATCCATGATCTTTCAACTGCTTCAGACATGAGCTTTGAAATATTAATCAAGTTTCAATGCTGCTGGCAAAACATAAGTGTTCACCTAAGCCTTTTCTTATCATTTTATATTTTAATCACTTACTTTAAAATAATCTGATAGTTTTATTAATTATATCTTAACATGGTTATGGTATGAATAAACAGAGACCTTCACAAACTTATCTAGTTCTTTTCTTTTTAAAATTCTCATTTTACCTGAATCATGTTAACTTTTTATATAAATTGTTTCCCAACCCAATTCATTATTGTTTTCTAAATTTTAGTTGTCTTCATAGTCTTCAGAATTCTAG